GAGGGGACCGCCAGTCATGATTCTCCCCTTATAGGGCCATCACCTCATATGTTTGGGTTGCCTCCTTTGTTACCACAATCCATTGCAGTTGCCAATTTGAACAGATCATCTGCATGGTGATTGTCTTCCCTTTTTACGTGCTCAAGTTTCCACGAATCCAACTGCGCTAGGATTCCTTTAACCTTCCCTGCCAACCTTGCGAGGGCTTCCTCCTTTACCTCATAGCTCTCTAGCACTTAGTTCACTACCAGCAACGAGTCAGAGTAGATGTGTAAGTGAGAAGCTCCCATGTTGACGGCAATCTTCAGCCCGCTGAGGAGCGCTTCATACTCTGCCACATTGTTTGTCTTTAACTTGAGGAACCTGTGAGAAATTTTGTGTATCACCCCTGTGGGCGTCTCGATGACAATTCCAGCTCCTGCTCCTCCTTTGCCAGCCTCCCCATCGACGAAGAGACGCCATACTTTTGCTTCCTCCTTTCCCCTGGTGCTTTCTAGGCTGAATCCCTCGGCGACAAAATCTGCGAGCACCTGCCCATTTGGTCATTCTGCGCGACACATCCATTCCCTTCAGGATCTTCCTCAGCGGTAGATTTGTCAGGACGATGACTTGGTGCCCTTGGAAATAAGGGCATAGCTTCCTTGCTACCGACACAACTGCCAAGACCGCTCTCTCGATGGGCATGTAACGCCTCTCCGCCGGGAGGAGCGCCTTCCTTACGTAGTAGACCAGATGATCTGAGCCATCTCCATCTCTTCGTACCAAGACCGAGCTAACCGCTTGATCGGAAACCACCAGATAAAGATATAGGGGTTCACCTTGCCGCGTGGCGCTCAACACGGAGGTGAGGTCAGTTGTTCCTTCAACTAGAAGAAGGCTTTGTTGCACTCCGTGCTCCAATGAGAACGGGATGCTGACTTCTTCAGCATCTGAAATAAAGGAGAACATTTGTCAGCTGACCTTGGAATGAATCGGCTTAGGGCGGCCATCTTTCTATTGAAAGCTTGGATTTCCTTGACAGTCTGAGGCGGTCTCAGGCTTATTATGGCTTCAATATGTTTTGGGTTTGCTTCTATTCCCCTGCTGGTGATCATGAATCCCAGGAATTTTCATGTCTTTGCACCAAACACGCACTTGAGCGGGTTTAGCCGTAGGCGCTCCTTTTTCAGACTTTCAAAAGTCTCTCTTAGGTCCTTCAAGTGATCCTCTTCCTTTTTGCTCTTTACTAGGACATCATCGACATACGCTTCCACGTTTCTTCCAAGCTGGCTCTTGAATACCGCATCTATCATTCTTTGGTATGTCGCCCCTGCGTTCTTTAGGCCAAATAGCATGACCGTGTAGCAGAAGTTTCCCATGTGGGTCATGAAAGTGGTCTTCTCGTGATCTTCCTTGGACAAGCGAATCTGGTGGTATCTTGAGAACATGTCCAGGAAACTAAGACTTCATGATTGGCGTCCTTTGGGCAGGTCGCATTGAGATTTGTGAAATCTATGCACATTCAGCATAGTCCGGAAGCTTTGCGGACAAAGACTGGGTTTGACAGCCAAGTTGGATACTTGACTTCCCTTATAAACCCAGCCTTTAGCAACCGCCTTACTTCCTCCTCCAGTGTCATTTGCTTCTCCAGGGAAGCGGTCCTCCTCCTCTACTGAATGGACTTCGATTTGCTCTTCACCGACAGGTGATGCTCGGCGAGCTCCCTTGAGACGCCCGGCATGTCCTCTGAGGTCCATGCGAACAAATCTGTGTACTCTTTGAGGAGCGCCAACAGCTCTCGCGCTTTTTCCTTTGTGAGGTGGGAAGAGATTCTCACCTTCTTTTCAGGTTCTTCGTCGTTGAGCACCACTTCCACGTCTCCCTCTACTGCCTCTGGGCGGGGATGCCCCCCTCGGGTATCCACGAGGTCGACCTTAAACTTTCTATTGTTGCCTGATAACATTCCTTTGCATGCTCTGTGTTTCCTCTGACCCGTCCTACTCTTCCCCCTGCTGGGAATTTAAGCATCTGGTGGCAAGTGGACAGGACCGCGGAGAACAACGATAGGAAACCGCATCCCAGAATTGCGTTGTATGCTGACGGGCAGTCTGCTACGTGGAAGTCCATGGTTCAGGTTTTCGTCACATCTGCTTCTCCAATCGTCACCTATAAAGTGATCAGGCCTAGCACTCTAATCTTTGACTCCAGAACCCTACGAGGCTTGTCGCCGACGGCTTAAGATCCTTCATGCTCATTTTCATGCTCTTGAGGATGGAGTAGAATAGTATATCCGCCGAGCTTCTGTTATAAACCAACGCCCTTGTGACCTTGAATTTCCTTGTTGTCAGGGAGATGACTAGCGGGTCTTCTCCGCTTTCGTCAGGCGCTAGCTTGGAGGCCGAAAAGCTGATGTCCACTTGCTCACTCCTATTAACATTTAGGCATTGGACTAGGCGTTCTCCTTCACTTCTTTGCCGCTTCCGACCGCCCACGATGGTGATGACCTCTACATCATCATGATTAAGCTGAGGTTGGCGTTGCGGAGGCGATCTCCTTGGTGGTGGTAAGCGGTCGCGCCGGGGGGATCTCTCCCTTCTCGGTGACCTCGACCTTCTACGCTTGGGTGTGCGGGACCTTCTCCTTGGGCTTGGTGACCTCTCTCTATGGTGCCTCTTCTCCTGGCGATGCGGCAGCGTATCCAGGCGGCTTTTGAGATCTCCGGGCACCAAGTATTTTAAACTGGCCCTGAACTCCCGACACTCTGTGGTGTCATGGGCGGGAATTTGGTGCCAGTCACACCAATTTCGGTCCTCCTCTCTCCTATGCGTCTGGTGCGCATTGCTGTTGTCGCCTCTCCTTTCTCTACCTTCTTCTTTGCTAGTGGCGAAAACTTCCCTCCGTGCTGACACGCTTAGCAGCGTCCTCCATGATCATGGCCTCCTCCAACAGAATCGCCTTTCTCACCAAGCGATTAAGGTCGGGCCACTCTTTCAGGGCACGTTCTTTCTTGATGAGCGCCCTTCGCAGCTCACAGCTATGTGTTGACATGCGCAGGTATCCCGCCGCCACGCTTGGCGATATTCCTTGTACCTCGCACGCTATGGTGTTCCACCGATCATAGAAGTCGGTTAGCGATTCTTCCCCACCTTGCTTGCAGTTAATGAGCGTCGAGACGGTTAGCTTCCTCCTATGCTGGGACGCAAACTTTGAGGAGAAGAGGGTAGCAAACTGCTCGAAGTTTTCGATTATTCCCTTGGGCAGGGAGGTGTACCAAGTTCGGCAGTGACCACCAAACGTGACCGGGAACGCCTTACACAGATCGGCGTCTGTGGCGCTGATGAGCTGCATCTTCAGCATGAAAGCGCTCAAATGGTCGGCGGGATCGGAACTTCCATTGTACGTCGGTAGCCCGAGTGATGAGAAGTTTGGGGGAACCTGGGTTTTAAACAAACTTTTGGCCAGGGGGTTTTGGAGGATGTTGTGACCCTTTGCCTTTCCATGCGAGGGCTTAAGATGTTCCTCCAAGAATCCTAGGCTGAGATCTTCTGTTCCTTCTTCTTTGTCAGACTCCCCGCCTTCTGTCTGAGCAGGGCTGTCGGGGTCTTCCTCTCTTCCCTTTCCTTTGGTTGTCCGCTTTCCTGAGCTCTCCGGCGCTTCGCTTCCCTTCTCTTTGAGCATGGCCAAGATTTGGCTCAAGCTCTCTTGCATGCTTGATATTTGCTGCCCTTGACTTTTAACGCAGTCTTCCATTTCCATTTCTTCCTCCACTGTAGGCATTTCCATTCCACGAATGTCGCTTATCTGCGCTTCTTGACCACGAAAATTGCTCCTCTCTACTATGCCTTTGACGGGGTGTTGGAGCTCCCATCCATCCTTTCTTCAGTGCTATGCTCGCCCCACGGTGGGCGCCAAATTGTTTGAGCCTAGAATGTTCCAGGCGGTTTGTGAAGAACGAGCAAGGCGTCTGTTCCAGATGGTGGGTGTACTCCAAACTCCTGCAAAACAAGGGTCCGTGGGCGGTTGCCCAGGACACCCTCCGATGCCTAAGTTAGAGATAGAATAAGAGCCTTTTGTTTATGTTGAGAGAGAGAGAGAGAGAGAGAGAGAGAGAGTAGTTGAGTTACCATCAATGCAGATATGAATGTATTTATAGTGGGTTAGCCTTCCGCCTGCGGCGGGCAATTAATGCCCAGTCCTGCAGTGTTCGAGGCGAGTATCCTAAGAAGATCTCCTTCCTCTGTCAGCAATGGCTCTTTGTGTCAGGCGGCCTATTCCTTGTCCCATCATAGAGTGGCCACCTGCCATTCTCTTTTCCCTATGTCCGCTCCTTCCTTGGGCCTCCTGCACGGCCTCGCTTTAGCTCCCCTTTCAGGCGCTACCTAACCAGCTATCTAGGGGCTTCAAGCCCAACACTGTCTGGTTTTTACTAATGAGATGAGGGAGGAGGGGATTGAGCCTATTTGTTGTGACTTTGGATATGTTATATGTATATGTAAATGATGTTGCATCATGTTCAATGTTTCCTCGAAGGATAATATCATTTCTTTATCCTGTACTCTAATTCTATTGTCAAAATATTTCTCCTTGTTTAGTTTTTATTGAGATCCTTCAAAATTTTCAATTTCTTATATATCACGCCGAGAGAGGACCAGAGACCACATTACTCCATGCTTCTCTACGTAGATCATCAAATTTTTTATGTTGCAAACAGAATTTAAAGAATTTGAAGGGTTTAAGAAAGGACTCCTGAGTAACTTCAATTTCTACATACACTTGACAGTAATCAGATACTCTAGGAGATTGTAGTGAACTTTACTCTCTCTAAATTTATCAAATTGACAAGCACACAATCCAATCATCTAGCTAATACGAGAACCCTAATGACAATTTGAGCATATATTATCCCTCTTTGTAATGTTTTCGTAAAACATAATGTGTGCTTTACTCGCATTGGCATAGCTCTCATAATTTCTTACTTTGTAGGTAGCAAAGTCCATAATCCATCTCAAATGCGTCGTTACAATTTGATCAATCGTTTATTTATAATAACCAACATATTAATGACCGAGTAAGCTATCCATCAAATTAATAACAAGAAGATTAGATATCGGCATCTCGCTATGCACCTTTTGCTTCGCAACATAAATCCAACAGCCAATATTCCGGAAATAGAAAAAAGATTGTTGGGGGTGTGCAAATGCCAAGTGCCAACCAATTCCAACTTGTTCAAAACCAAAGGAAAATGATGCCTTCCATCGACGCATCAACCCACTTATGTATCTACCCACAAACTAACTCCAAAACTAGGTTCTTCTGCAGATAAATCATAAACCACACAAACAAGGAAAATGACTTGCTCCGTACGAACACAAGAATGCGTGCCTCTATGGCGACACAAGGATTTCAAAGATTTAATCATATTGATGGGCTCGGACTGAAGGGGACGAAATCTTCCGGCTGTGATTCGGCGTCCAGCTTGGCCTTCTTATATCTCTTTGAACTTTTCAGGATTGTGTCCAGAGGAATCCCTGAGGAGCTGCACATTCAAGCGAGCAGACCATAATCTCATTAAATGAACATGGCTAAATGTCGGCTTCTTCACATAATCCCATCAAAAGAGTATCGAGTACGTGTACTTACAATGGCGTCTTCATGCCTTTTCGACCACTAATGCCATTTCTATTCATGCTGTCGAACCCTGGTTCAAGAACAATATACCAGCTCAGCTTCTATTCAAGTCACTTATGTTTCTTTGCTTCTACTAAAACATAAAAACAAATAAACAAAACTTGCTTATTTCTTTAGCAAATGCTGAAACAAACACACCGATAACTAACCTGTATCAGTCTCACCATCCGAGTCGACAGCAGATACCGAGATATTGGAATAAGTCTCCGGGGAGCTGGCACGTGACTGGTTGGGTGGGGATGGAAAATGATAGGGTTCCAAGCTATCGTCTGAATCATCACTGAATGGATCCTGCTTGAATAGTGATCTTGATGCAACAACCTTCTTTGGATGAGCCATGCCATTCACAACTTTGCCTGGATGAGCATTATTACCTCTTCGACCAGTCACAACAGTTAACTGGCTTTGAGATGGATCTGTCTTGCCTCTTTTGGTGTGGAAAGTCGAGTTTGTCGAACTCTCGGAATGATGTTGCTCCATGCGCTTCTTCGACTTACCACCAAGTGGACGAGTCAGAGAAATTGAATCTTGAGCCACTTCACAAAGAGCTTTTCGCTTATCTACTGTACCAGGTACTGGTTTCTTCTCCTGAGGCTTTGCACTGGCTCCAAGTTTCTCCTTCAAAGTTGGATGCCCAGGTAACTTGGGAGAGATGTCATGCAGGTTTCCCTCGTGTACTTCACTTTTCTTTTCACTTTTCGCTTTAGTCCAAGCTCCAGTAACCTCACTAGGAATAGGATTAGCAGTCTTCTTATTCTGTTCTTTTGGGGTGAAGTAAGAGCTGAAGTCGACTCCATCAACCTTGCTGGCATTATCTGCATTGCCGCGAACTTTTTCAGGAGGAGACCCAATCTCTGCTCTATCTAATAGGTCTTTGAAACTCCGATTGCGCAGATTAGCATCATAAGGGATTCTAGAAGAATCTGTGCCACAAATGTTGGCGGTGGAAGGAGCTGGAATACTTTCGTCGGTGCACTTGTCTTCTGCTTGTGTCAGTAGTACGGAGCTCTTACCATCTGAACCATGCTTCTTCTTTGTTTTCTTCCTTGATTTCACTTCTTTGTTTTCTGCAACAGTTTCAGTCTTTGTGGTCCGCTGTGCAGATTCTACCACGTTTTTAATAACCTCGTCAATTTCCCTATCTGTAACCAAAAGAGAAGACCTCAGACTATCAGCTGCCGCCGCTTCTTTCACATCCTCCTTTTCAGCAGCTTCAAGAAATGATTTCTCAGCCTTACCTTCTTTCTCCGGTACATCATAACAATCTTTAACATGATCAGCATCTGAAGGAACTGGTACTGTTCCACTCATGAGTGCCTTATGTTTTCTGGATTTCTTTCTTTTCTTCGATGTTTTCCCATCATCCACATACGGATCAACCTCGCAAGATATAGAATCAACAACTTCTCTGTGCACTTCTGTCAAACCCGTCTTGGGCACATCTTGTTCTGTTTCAACTCTATTCATGTCATTAGTTGTTGGTTCCTGAAACTCATTGATAGCTGCACCAAATCAGTTTGAATATCAGACGAGCAAAATGAGAAGAAAGGATCAGTTAGCAAAGTTCAATTGGAAAATGGAGATACCTTGTGAAGGAAGATTGTTCTGTTGCTCTTGGAGAGGATCATGGTCCTTCTCCACCAAAGAAACAGCTGAAGGCTCCGTCATATGTGCTTCTGAATGAGGTGGCTCTTCAGCAACATTGCCACTAATAATTCCAGCTTCCTTCAGAGGTACCTCTTCACCAGCATTCGCCTCACCAGGAGTTACTCCAACATTTTGTTTATCTACATTCTTAAGAGATTTGGTTTTTCTTTTCTTCTTCGCGAAGCTTTGGTTGGCCAATTGATCAACTGCTACCACACCATCAGCATTTGGGCCTTCCAGAGTAGTAGTCGCAAGTTGTTGTTCACCTATTGTAGGTAGCTGAGATAGAGGAGGCTCACAAGTCATTGCATTAGATTCTGAAACAATGACCTGCATAGCATCAATGCCTACTTCACTTCTTTCCTGCGAAGCAGTAGTCTCAGGTAGTGTAATCTCTCCCTCTCCTCCCTTGGATGCCAACTTGTGCCTTGACACATCAACTTCTTTAACAGAAAGATCATCCGCGGCCTTTTTACTTCTCTTTCTCTTCTTACGTTTTTCCTTCACATCAGAAGCTCCTTCTGGCAATACACTGCTTGCATCAATCTTACTCAACTCTTTTCCAGTTTCTGCTCTTTCAGCATCCATCTCCCGAGCTCCTTCCTCATCAAACTTATCTTCTCTAACAAGTTCATCACTAACCAACGGCACCATTGACACAACTTTGTCACCAGAATCATCACCACCCACAAGTTGAGCTCCCCGGGCAACTTCAACGGGGTCATTGCTCTCCTTTTGAGAACCCAACAAATCCCTTCCCAACATAGCATCGTGACGCCCATCTAGAACAACATTAACATCTTCCTCCTCCGAACCATTGTCCATGATCATTAATTCTAAGTTGACCTCTTCATGCTCAATCTCCTGATCCTTGGGAACAATAGAAGCTTCAACACTAACAAACCAACCATTGTTAACCCCAGCAAAGGCATTTGTCACAAGCATTGACTCTGACAAGTAATAGAAAACCCCTCTCCTTTGGACCTGCCCAATCCCATACCCGCAAACGACATAGGTCATTCCAGAGGCAACCCGTCAGATCATAAGCGGCAAATAGTATAGAGAAAAAGAAAAACTATACCTTCAATCCATCGACTTTTATTTCTCCAACCTGGGGGAAACACAGCGGATGCTCGTCCGTGATTTTTCCTGCAATTAACGCAGATGCACCATCACAAAAACAGTTATGCCAACAGAGTTCGTATCTTTTGGAATTGACATTGGGGGGTTATATGGAAAAAGGACGAGCGAAGGAACAGGGTATTACTCTTGAGATCGGCAACGGTGTCGGGGGAAGCGACCGTCACGGCCAAGTGAGTGTCGAGGTTGGTGTCGATGAAGACGGCATTGAAGGGAGCTGGGGCGTCGCCGTGAACGGCGGCCGGAATCGGGGGTTCAGCCATCGCCGATTACTGATCAAGAACAGAAATAAAACGACGCAAAGGGGGGAAAGAAACCGGCCTCGGCAGCGACGGCGAGTAGGGTTTAGTGTTGCATGTAGCGTTTTGGGAGGATTCGTTTGCTTTCGAAGAATCGTTTGGCTCGTGAAGAATGACGGCAGAAAAAGAGAGTATAAAAACCTTCGTATGAATCCAAGATAGGGTTGATACCGCCGCTTAATGTGCAACGAGTGATGTGCTTGGGCCCAAAATTTTTACGGACTGCCCAACTCTTCTGCAAGGCCTGCTTCGGGCCCAGTTTGTGTGATTAGACCATGAATTTGACTCTTCGGATGTTTAAAGCAAGATGTTATTTAATTAGATCACGAATTACAAATTTTATGGATCTTTTTCTGTTTGCGAGTACTTTCACTACTTTGGTACATTAGTTGCGGATTTATTTGGAGTGTGGCTTGCGATTCTGTTTCCGGAGAAAACCAAATACCATCGCCGGTGCCGAATTTGGTTTGCGGCGATGTTGATTTGATGTTTCGCGATGGAAATTCTTGCGGTGCCGTTTGATCGAATGCACCGTTGATTCCTGAAATCGAGACGATCGTCAAATATCCGCCGCCGAATGTCGGCTCTGTTGATTTGATCGATGCACCTCTAAATGGTGAAATCAACGTGACCGTCAAATATCCACCGCCGGGCGGTGTTGATTTGATCGATGCACCTCTGACTTCTAACCAAGAACGACCGTTACTACGGTTCGCACCTCTCCAAACTACGTTTGAACGAGGGTGTTTGAGTTTTGAGGAATCTACGCTACCGCTACTCCTATGGAGATTCCTGTGGAGAGCTCCGCGACTACGACTAAGACTACAACTATGGAGATCCTTCCTGGAAGGAGAGCTCCGCGAAGGAGTTACAGATGAAAAAGGTAAAGTTTGACAGATGTGTTTCTGTGTTGATTTGGTTGTCCCTTTCTCTCCTTGCTCCACTGCTTTTATTTGAAAAACATCTTCGTAGCCTTCACGCTCCATGAAACCGCTTCCTCAACTGCTCCGCCGTGAACTCCCACGTGTCTCAACCGCCTCGATTTTGATTCTGTGTGACTCTCACGTGGAACAAAGCTACAATGACGATGTTGTTTTGGGATAACAGTGGCGTTGGACCTAGCGGGCCACCCTTGGCCAAGCTCTTAACCACTATGATATCGTTTTTAACCAAACGATATCGTTTATGATACCGCGATGTCGTTGATACCTCCCGTAGCGTCGTTTAATCTTTCCGCGACATCGCTTTTCACTAATCGATGCCGACCTTGAACTGCTCCGTCCCGGTCCCATCAAACAATGTCGTTTTTCATTCCGCGACATTGTTCTCTACCAAGCAGTACCGTTTTTCTTGTCTTGCGGTGTCGTTGAGCTTGCCGGGCCACTCGCCAAAATCCAAACCATTGCGGTATGGTTTCTAACTAAACGACATCACTTAGTAATACCGCGGCGTTGTTGGTGCCTTAAACGGTGTCGTTTTTAGCTAAACAACACCGCTTGATTATACCCGCGACATCGTTTATTTTCAACACTGTCGTTTGCTAGTACAGCGGCACCGTTGGGCATACTCGCGGTGCCGTTTTGAATTAAACCACACCGTCTAACATAATAAAAAGAAATACCAACGTTAAATTGTCGTGATTTTGAACGTTTGGGTTGGGCAGATTTTTGGGCCAATCACTTACCCGATGTGGTTTTTAATTAATCGGTACCGCTTGTCAAGGCTCTCGCGGCATCGTTTTCAGATCTACGACACCATTTTAACTCTTCGCGGTGCCGCTTTTCCCCTTCCAAAAGGAATAAAAATAATAATTAATTAGAAAACTCCTTCTCCATAACCTACACTAAACGCGCGGCCCCTTTTGCTTTTCAGTGAGCGGTGTCTTTTCCCGTGCCGCGGTACTGCTGAGTTTCCTTGCGGTACCGTTTTTCTGTATCGCGGTATCGTACTGACTCTCCGCGACGCCGCTTGACTCCAAACGACACCGTTTTTTACCCGCGTTATCGGATTAAATGCCGAGACTAATTAATACGGCATTTAATTACGACCAAATTAATTATAGGTGTCAACAGATTCTTTATGCTACCAATCGGCAGAATTGTTTAGATATGACTTGTAATTTAAGAGCACTCTCTGAATTTATCTCTTATCCGATTATATAAAAAGCAGTAAGAAAATAATTTTTTGTTGAATTTATAAATTCTGTAAATTTATGCTCCCAAAAATCTGTGAGTACGGAGACAATTGAGTAGGACAATCCTAATGGTATGAAATTTATTTGAATGTCCATCAACACTAACGTGTAGAACCCAAACAGAATACCTACGAATATTGGAATAAGTGCTACCCGTTATGTTAGAATTGTTTTATGCTACTGTTATAATATTAGAATTTCTACTCGCTTAAAATGAAATCGACAAAATCTCCATTTACTAGTATCTTAATACCTAACTCTAAAATTGCACTTCTCCTCGTCTCTTACATTGAGAGGTTCGTTAAATAAAAGGAATTGGTGGATTATTTCATATGACGACAAAAGTGACATTTTTAATGTCCATCAGTGTATTTGCTTTTGAAACTAGTATTAGTTTTACTAGTTGTAATTGTTAGAGTTTAAAAGATCGTTATCAAAGAAAATTGCTTACTAATAGAGATAACCAATGCAATTCGGATTCATTTTGAAATATAATGAAAATCCAGCTGTAGTAGTCTATGACCAAAAGTTTTATATTTCATTTTTAATTAATTGGTTAATTATATCTTGGAAAAGTTGAATCTGCGAACTTTTTGAAATAATCATTTGGCCATGTGTGGAACAATGCTTCTCCATGGCGCATTTCAAGTAACCAAAAACGTGTTTGGGGTTACTTTACTTCATTACTTGCATCATGCAAATTAACAAAGCCAAATGGTGTGACTAATCATAGAGAGAAAAGCAAAACATAATTGTGAGCACATGTTCTTCATTGATATATCAATGTTATTATTAATTTACTCTATTTAGTACATTCAAGTCATTTAAATCTTTGCAATTTATTAATACTTTGATTGTGAAAGTTACGAGTCAATAAATCGATCTCTTGAGTGGTTGTTAGTTGTTACAATGAAAACCTTCTCATTCGTCGTTCATTCAATTCGTCTCTTTATCTCTCTCGTCTATTGATAACCACTAGGCGGTTTGTCCTTAATTGTCATGGTGACAACCACTAGGTTGTTTGCCCCAAATTCATCTCCCCTATTTAAGAACATTTATAATTAACTTTAAAGTTACAACTAATTCTTTTATTTTTAAAACCCAAACATCCCTACGCACACACCGGTTGAGCGATGGCGGAGCGAGACCAAATTTGGGGGTTCACCTGCTTAAATCATTTAAGCCTTCCACTAAAATCCCCTTTAGTTGCCTTCGGAAATACCACAACTAACCTCGAGATGGGTCTCATGGGATCTCACTTTCCGATCGAGAGTCTCTCGAGAATTTTACGAGTTGAGCTATGAGACCTCTAATATGTCATAAACCAATTGTTCCCAATAATTCGATTTGTTGGGGGCAATGTAGTCAAAATCGCACTTTAAAACTTTACAACTTAAGATTTTACATTTGTAGGTCACTAAAACGCTTCTACACAAAATCACAGTTCTTACAACTTATGTAGTTAAAAACTCCCCTTTAAAACTTAAAAACTTACGATTTTACGCTTCTAGATCACCAAAACATTTTTACTTAGAAACTCGCTTTTGACTACATTGGTTGGGGGAAGGTTATGCTGGAAAACCACTTTCTTACACGCCCCTCAAACAAAAGCCAACCCATAGGCTTGAAGTTTGCCTAAGCGAACACCATATCTTGTGCTTTTTAATCAACTGTTAATATAGGAGGTCATGAAGATTCGAACACACAATCACTTGGTCAAATCAACTATGATATCATATCATAAACCAATTGTTTCCAATAACTCGAGTTGTTAGGAGAATATTATGCTAAATCTTATTCTACCCTCTTACCCAATACAGTTTCGCATAATTGTTCCCAATAACTCGACTTGTTGGGCGCAATGTAGTCAAAATCGAACTTTAAAACTTAAAAACTTAAGATTTTACGTTTTTAGGTCACTAAAACGCTTCTACACAAAATCTCAGTTTTTACAACTTATGTAGTTAAAAACTCTGCTTTAAAACTTAAAAACTTACGCTTTTACGCTTCTAGATCACCAAAACGTTTTACTTAGAAACTCGCTTTTGACTACATTGGTTGGAGGAAGGTTATGCTGGAAAACCACTTTCTTACACGCCCCACAAACAAAAGCCAACCCATAGGCTTGAAGTTTGCCCAAACGAACACCATATCTTGTGCTTTTTAATCAACTGTTAATATTGGAGGTCATGAAGATTCGAACACACGATCACTTGGTCAAATCAACTATAATACCATATCATAAACCAATTGTTTCCAATAACTCCAGTTGTTAGGAGAAGATTATGCTGAATCTTATTCCACCCTCTTACCCAATACAGTTTCGCGCAATTGTTCCAATAACTCGACTTGTTGGGGGCAATGTAGTCAAAATCCGCATTTTAAAACTTAAAAGCTTAAGATTTTACGTTTGTAGGTCACTAAAACGCTTCTACACAAAATCTCAGTTTTTACAACTTATGTAGTTAAAAACTCCGCTTTAAAACTTAAAAACTTATGATTTTACGCTTCTAGATCGCCAAAACGTTTTTACTTAGAAACTCGCTTTTGACTACATTGGTTGGGGGAAGGTTATGCTGGAAAACCAATTTCTTACACGCCCCTCAAACAAAAGCTAACCCATAGGCTTGAAGTTTGCCCAGGCGAACACCATATCTTGTGCTTTTTAATCAACTGTTAATATTGGAGGTCATGAAGATTTGAACACACGATCACTTGGTCAAATCAACTATGATACCATATCATTTCCCTCAAAAAAACTATGATACCATATCATAAACCAATTGTTTCCAATAACTCGAATTGTTAGAAGAAAATTATGCGGAATGTTATTCGACCCTCTTACCCAATACAGTTTCCCGCAATCTGTCGCAAGTTTAAGCCAAAAAACTTGTGATTCGATTCACCGTCACGCTTTTGTTAGTTAGTTGTAACAACAAAACAGCAAGCCAACGAAGACCTGCCCCCTTTTAATTAAGGTTGTCCCAAAACCGTGATAGTGTCTCTTTCCCCTCCCATGATTCTGGAGACACGCAACATGCACTCATGGGACAAAGATGAAACTTGAAACTGTTGCTAACGTTAAATCAAATTCATTCCCAAATTGAGAAAGATAAAACCTTCCTCCAACTCCCAACAACTTCCCATCCCAACTAGTACACGTTAATGGACAGCAATAGAGACACTAAAACACCCTCCCTCTAATATCAACCAACCACCAGCAAGGAAAGTGATGCAGAGAAGAAGAATAAGAAGAAGAAAAAGAATTTTCCTATTACACAGCTCTCTGTTCTCTTAGGCAAAGATGGCTTCTTTACTCGTCTTTCTTCATGGCGTCTTTCTTCTGTCCTCTCTTGCGGATCGCCATGCAGAATTTCAGCCTCCATGCATCAACGGCTGATTCCGGGATGGCGCTTATCAGAGCCCAGAGAAGGGAATGCGGCCAGTAAGGCGTGCACCGCGGCTCGTACCCTACCCAGCGCAGTCCAGCTTTGGCGTAGCCTTCATTTGATGGAACGAAGAATGAAGACCTCTTTATCGACGCCATCTTTGTGGCCACGTATAAAGGAACCTGCATTTTGGAAAGACTTTTGAATGAAGATGGCTTGAACGTTAACTCATAGATGACCAACAGCATCAATGTCGATTCGGAGGTTGATATGAGAGCAAGATTCGAATTGCATGCAAGACACAGCCTAGAAAAACTAGCATTCAATCTGAATTGGCAGAAACCAAGTGATTAAACTTCAATGTACAAGTTGGAAAGGATATTATGAAGTTATGAATGAAAGGATGAACTTATCCATGGATAACCAAAACGATCACTTTCACAACTGCTCTCAGAGACCAACTCTCGAGCTGAGATATAAGAAAAAGCTGTATCCTTCCGAAATCACCCCATCGAACTGAGAAGTGGGTTGATTATATTAGCCATATGCTGGTTAGTTTTAAAACACCCTCTCGAAGTTGACATTACACTTAAGGAAAGCTACAGCATTTCACCATAATCCCAATATAGAATCCAATTCATCCACCTATTACCATTTTCAACAGTTCATGAGCAAAACAAGAACCATAGAGCTCCTTCCTAACCCTCCTTCCACCTATATAGAGTTACTTCTATATATCAGATCAAGTTCGAAGTTCGGAATTCGAAGATAGTAATACCTGACATTGCACATCAATCCCACTCTTCTTGTACTCAACATAAAGGCATCTGGAGAACTGATCAATGTACCTGGGAACCCCACCAAACAACAAAATCAGCACAAATTACTCTTAACAAAAACTCCAACCATCAATCAAATTCAAACCAACCAAATAGAAGTTCAAAGCTTCTTACGCTTTAGTAGCAGCATAAACAGCATAGAGAGGATCCGAAGGGATCACAATTGCAGCACCAGAGCCAATGTTAACAATGGCGCCCTTCTTCCTTTTCAGCATCACAGGCAGAACCGCCTGAGTCACTTTCGTCGTCCCTTCCACATTGACCTTAATCAAATTCCTCAGCAGCTCCGCGTCCACCTCGTGGAAGAATCTCGCGTAAGGATAGGAAACCCCAACGTTGTTAATCAGAACCCCAACATCGAGCCCTTCAATCGTCTCCTTGATCCTCTCCACCCCGCCGTCGATATCCCCACTGAAATCGACCACCACCGTCTTGATTTCAACCTTACCGTACTTCGCGGAGATCGAATCGGTGACCTCCTTGAGCTTATCAGGGTTCCGGCCGACGATGACTAGATTGATTCCTTTTCGGGCAAGCTGGAGAGCAAAACCCTTGCCGATTCCGTCCGTGGCTCCGGTGACCACCGCCCAAGAGCCGTACTTTTTGAGGTTTTTCCCCTGGCGGAGGAAATTGACGTAGACCCATTGGAGGAGGGCGAAGCAGAATTTGAGGGCGGTGAGGGAACCTAGGACGAAGAGCGGGCGGAGATAGAAAGGCTGGTCTTTCAGCTTGTCGAGGAAGCCGAGCTCCATATCTGGAGGAAGCTTTGACTGAGCTTGAATCTGGGTTTTGGGGCCGGGGGAAACGGAAGGAATTGAGAACTGAGAAAACGAGGACGATGGAGAGAAAGAGCGGTATGGTTGGGGGAGTTATAAAGGAAGGAGGTAGAGGGGGATGGGTGAAGTAGATGAGCGGAAAACCACCGTATTTAACTACTGGATGGCGACAGCAGCCATAACTGAACGTGGGGAAGAGAGCGCCAGAGAGGCAGGCAGGCAGCGGCGGAAACAGAGTGTGAGTGACCAAACTTTTTACAGTTTTTTAGTAATTTCAAGGGTAGTTTGCTTCAAGGATTTGGTACATGGATTTGGTATAAAAAAATCAACTATCAAGGTTTTAGTTACTTTTTCAAAAAAAAAAAAAAAATTTAGGTACAATCCGTTGTATGCTTGCACATTTTTTGGAGACCAAATTCTTGGGGCCCACGGATTTTAAGGGTTCAAATCCGTGGACCCCACGGACTTATAAATCTCACATGTTGATGTGAGATTTGGAATATGGCATAGATTCTTGATGACATTTTACCCATATACCCTCATGCAATTTTAATATTCCAAGGTTGCCCTCAAATTTAACTATTATACATTATAATTAACAATAAATGAATAATATAAACGTTCAATTAATGTGCAAACATGAGTTAGATATATTATATCATTTCTTGTGTTCTAGTTTTCTTTGACCTTTTCATGGAATGTGTAATTCTTCGTTCTCCCGATTCTAATATATGTTGTTATATGTTACTTTTGAAAAGGAGGACAAAGAATTGGTAATTGATTATGTTACGTTAAAAATTAAAACGGAATTTTCTCGTTTATTATTATTGTCCGTGTGGCAACATTATGCTTATTAGTATGTATTGTCCTTGTTTTGTGTACATATCATAAACATGTCAAACATATAGAAAATGATAGTAAAATAATTTTGAAGTTCTGTCCTTGTTTTGTGTACATATCATAAACATGTCAAACATATAGAAAAGGGCAGTAATGTAATTTTTGACTTCAAGTAGTAAATTCCACACCTTTAAATCCATGATAAAAACATCCCAACAAACAAAGAATTATTACAAATCCATGATGCCTCAAATCCTTGATAAATCCTTGGGTTTTTAAATTACAAACCCTCGTTTATAAATCCATGAAGCAAACGACCCCTCAGTTAGTCAAAAACACTTGTATAGCCAAAACTTTTACTGAATGTGCCGTTTATAGTCATTTTTTGCGAAATACCACTAATAGCCACTTTTTGAAAGATGTGGCGTGCCAAATATAGCCATTTCTGTTAGAAACTATGACGATGTTAATAACTCCGTCAACTTATTTGACGGTCGGCTGACGAGGCGCCAAATCATCAGCCACGTCAGTGACAACTAAGCAAATAGTGACACGTCAGATATTTTAATTATTTAATATTTAATTACTACATTAAATTATAAAAAAACCAAAAAAGGAAAGATCATAAAAATACAATAACCAATTTTTTTCCCGACCTCATGCCACATTTTAAATTAAATGAAAATGGAAAATCTAATATACCATGCCTCACTCATCTCTCCGGCCAGATCTAGTTTCCCTTCTTCCTCCCCTGTCCACACAACAACCATCGCCACCTGCAATACCATCTCAAATCAGAAAACTTCCCCCACGTCACCAGGCTGCCTCTTTCCCCATTCCATCTCCTTCTTCTTCCCCAACCTCCCACCTTCAACCTAGTATCCTAGAAAATGAGAGCTCCGGCCAAAAATCGAATCTCAAATTGGAAACCTCCATCCCGTACAATTCCCCGTACCCACTTTACGCCATGACCAAACCCCTACACCAAACGATCTCCTCCGTATTTCCGCCGCCACTGCAACTAGAAGTCGGCCAATGCGCGAAGGTTACGGATTGAATTAGGAATGGAGGAGATTGCCGATGGAATTTGGGAATATGAGGAGATGAACTACATGGTTTGGATGTATGATTCGGGGCTGGAGGCTCTAGGGAACTCGATTTGCCTCCTCAAGACAGAGATGCTTCGACGACGATGACAGCGGCGGTCGCGCCTCTACATCAACTCCCGCCGACGAACTCATGCTAGCTGTTTCCAGTGCTCGCAGTCGGGTGCCACCGCTACCAACTCCTTCCTATTGTCGTCAACGATCAGCATCACTATCCCCCAGGCCTGCATTCAAGAATCTAGCGAATTTGGGAGGAAGAACTCGGGTTCTTGAATTTGGGGGATTTCCAAATCCGAATCTGGGGTACAATTTCTTATGGAGCAGGAGCGGTGACCATCATATTCAAAGCTTCTCCTCTATTTTGTGTGGTAAGAAAAGCAAAGTGGTTTTAGGATAAGTGGTGGAGACATGGAGGTGGAGTGGGGAGGAGAAGATGAACGAGAAGTAGAGGTAGGGGAAGGGACGAAGGGTGAGAGATTTTTTTTAACTGTGGAGAGATTATTGTTTTATGTATTTCTTTTTATAATTTTGTTTTATTTAAGTTCATTAAAATACAAAGGTAAAATTATGATGGTTTTCCACCTGGCATTGTTACTTATGAAATTTTTACCATATCAGCCTTACTGGTAGCCTAGTCAGCACATTCACTAACACCGTCAAACAATTGGACGGAAGTGGCTATTTTTGGTATTTCACCAAACGTGGCTATATTTGGTCAAACCATCAAAGTTTTGGCTATACAAGTGTATTTTGCCTTTCAGTTATTATAAGTGAAATAGAATACTTTTAAGTAATCAAACTTATTTTTTTTTTGTTAGAACTTAATTTTTTTAGCAATTTCTGTGACTAATTGTGACATTTATTCCTTTTTTTACTTTTTTTATGTACGATTTCCTCTTTGTTTACCGATCAAGGGATTTCAGATTCCAAGGAGGGGGTGTTCCAAAATCACTCCATTACAATAATGGAAATATATTACATCAAGAGTTCACTCCATTAGAAGAAATCGAAAATGAGAGCAAGAATATCGAACCAATTATTCGGGAGTGTAGATTTGTCAAGCAAACAAGTCACTCAATCAGTTCGAAAGATAACAGAACATAGGACTGCCTCCACCTTAATTTAAGGGTTATGTCTAAGAAGGGCATTCATTGTTCCCATCCATGGCGCCACCCTCCAAGGTTGCTCAGGTGGGTCACATGAGAGAGTCTGAATAGGAGCTTGACAATCCATGCAGATCGTATATGTCGGCCCATATCTTGAGCTAATTTGAGAGCTTCCAAGTTTCAACACAGCTTTCACTTCAATAGCAATCGAAGAGGCACATAGGATAGTTCCAACACGTTCGTCACTTGTCCATGGTTGTTAATGACCCCCACATCATAAGCCCCATCTTGAAGTCATTTTATGTAAGATCCATCATAGTGAATCGCCATTGAGATTGCTAGATGGTGGAGAAGTAAGAGGACAAAATCTCCCTTTGATGAGCATTAGGGATGTGTTGGGAATCATTCAAGGGGTCGTTTGGATAAGGGATTGTATATAGGGATTTGTGAGAGATTTTAAAACAATCCCTCATTATGCAGGATTTTAAAACAATCCTGCGTTTGAGAAATATGAGAGTTTTTGCAATTAGGAATTTTAAAAACTCTCAAATGTGGGTTTTAGAAAATAGCTGATGGTGATCAGCTATTTTCAAATCCCTCATTCTTGTTTTATTTTTTCCAACACTTACCCTCCCCCGAACTCGCCACCAGCTCCTGCACTCAATTGCCGGCATAGCTTCTCCGGACAGATACACTCCTTCCATCTGACGTTTTGGGCTTGTTCTCCACCGAAAGCAAGTTTCTACCGTCGTCTCCCCTTCCCGATCCTGCTAGTCGGTCTAACTCCATCCATGGCGAGCGAGGACAACAGAAAAAATGGCAACATATCCATACAAAGCCAGGCTCTCTCATCACCAAACTCGGAGACAATCTCCTTCTTAAAATACTGATTCGCCTTACAATATTAATCCGGCCGAATTGCACAAATCGTTCTTGTTCTGCAATTTCATGAATCAATGGAAAAGGTCGATTGATTTGTTGGTCGATTTGAATCTGTCCCCTGCGTCGGCAAACCCATCATCAAAGCCCAGAAAGACCCAGCGACGACTTCATCTTCTAGTGACGGTCTCGTCCTCGTTTTCTGACGCCGAATCTTTCCCACTGCAACAACAAGAGAGGGTTTGGGTTCAAGCAAATCGACTAGCCCATCTCGATATGGGTTTATAGGGATTCAATTTTTGTGTTTGAGAGTTTCAATTTTTGGCTATTGGGGTTCTGGTTCGTGCTAGCCGTTGGGATTATGCCTCAACCTCCATCGTCGAAACCCGAGTTATGGATTCCGTCATCGTGGGTGATGTCGACGTCGATTAGGAAGAAAGGAAGACGAAGGAGGGCAAAATTGTATTTGTATAATTTTCGTTAAAAACCTAGGTTTGTAAACAAACAAGTGATTTATTAAAATCTCTCATATTAAAAACCTGGGTTTTTAAACTAAGGGATTGTGGGTAAAATCCCAGGCTTTAGAAAACCTTCATCCAAACGACCCCCAAAGGACAATAGGAGCATTGCAAATCTTGCATATGGCCATGAGGATTTCCTTTTGAAGACCTATTCATTCCTTGCCTTCCAAATTCATTTCCCCCTTTCCTCTTGGATAAACGAACTGGAATTGGAAAATCTTGTAGTATGGTACCCATTCTTAACGTGAATCCTTAGTTCGTAGTAAACATCCAAGCCCACAAGTCCTCGTAATCATCATCTCCTATAGGGATCCTCATAATTTCCTCTAGCTCGTTCATAGCCTATTGCCTCGATCGAATGAAATCCACATTCCAAGTTCTATCTTTCTTATTAATCCGTTCCTCAACTCTCAACCCAAGTCTTTCATCCATATCCTAACCAATCCAAAATCAAGGATCTTCTTGGAGTCATAGAGACTAGCCCATATCCATAATGGTCTACTACCTTTCTTATATGCAAGGAAATTTCCTCTAGAAAAAACAAGCCTTTCATGTACCTACTCCATAGTGAATCAGGTGAGTTGAGAAGCCTCTAAGCCTGTTAGACAAAAGGGCCAGATTAAAATCACTAAAACTATTGAATCCTAGGCCCCCTTCGGCCATTGGAGAATAAAGAACATCCCCTCTACACCAGTGCATGCTACTCTTATGCATATATCCCCATCCATACGAAGTTACTCAGAGAGGAATCCATGTTCTTGGTTGGCGAAACATGAAGGAGGAAGAGAGTGAAAATTTGGTCCTAGATCAGCAATGAACTTTACATTACACTCATATTAGGATAAATAGCAGTTTTGGTCACTACGTTTATCATTTTGTTTTATGTTTGCCACTAACAAATTTTAATTTCATTATTGGTCACTCTAATTATATCCTCATTTCATGTTCGATCATTGCCGTTAACTTTCGTTGGACTTCATTAATGCCATTAGTTTTTTATGACATGGGAAGGAGATGGTTTTGGGGAAGTGAGGGGCGTGATTTTTTTGGAATTATTTTGCTCGATCAATTGCAAATAAAATCTAATTGGGGTCGGTCAGTGGTTGGTTTGGTTTGAAAGTTGAGCAGGCAGGTTTTTCTACTAATTCTTTTGGCGCTTCAGCATGTTAACAGCCAACTTGCCAATATCTGTTTGCCATGTCATAAAAAATTAACGGTGTTAATAATGTCAATACGAAAGTTAATGTCCAGTGATCAAATATGAAATGATAGTTTAGTTAGAGTGCAAATAATGCAATACAATTTTTTATTGTAGCAAATAAAATGATAAACCCAGTGATCAAACATGCTATTTAGTCTTTATATTTATAAATCAAATTGAAATTGATTAGGATACTCATAGCCACAGACCGTTTGTAAGAGTGTGATCATAAGATGCCCGATAATTAGTGTCCATCCAATGGTCATGGAGCAACAACACGATCCCACTATTATAGACTAAATCAACATCGTTTTTGGCCAATGAAAATTCATCTTGAACATTTGATGTTGGAAAGTAATGAAAAATGAGTAACTTTGAAAGCTATAAGTTTCAAAGGAAAAACTAACACATTGGTAGTTTTACTCTTATGATATGTGTATAAGAATATGATCCTCTCTCCTAAGGGCATGCCCCTTGGGGTGACCCACTTTTGTGGGAGAGGGAGGACCTAACAGACCACCACACGC